ATACAAGATGATGAAGAAAAGTGTGTACATGTGTTTTAACGTACCTCTGTGCCTCTCATCTCCCCGCTGGTCTGCCTCTGCGGCCGGAGGAAAAGACCGGTTAATACAGCTCCACTCGGGAAACTGAGATTATATCGTGCAAATAACATCAGCATACAACACATCAAGCGATTAAAAGAAAATTAACCTACCACACTCTAGTGGTTTTTCATCTTCAGGAGTCTTTCACAGAGCCGGTGCCGAGGAGGTGTGTGGTTGTTTTTCGCAGTCATTAGGACTACTGTTTTTAGATTTACTAAATATAGTAGGCAAATATTTTTTCAAAATGCACTGAAAATCTAAGCCTGAGAAACAGTAATAAAAGTTTTACTAAGTTTTAATTAATAAAATGATTTACAGTGATGCTGTTTGCTAGCTAGTATGCTGACCATCCAATCAAAGGATGAGAAAATGGTGACGTTATCGTTAGCCAGCTAGATGGCCCTGGTGCTGCCAACTCGAAATCTGATTGGTTAAAGCAGCGGTTTCATTGCCATTGATTTAAGCTAACAGACGCCAGCACTGTTGATTCTGAAGGCCTTAAGGCAGATTTCTTTGACCCTGGCAACACGATTGCTGAAATATGATTGGATAAAAGCTCTAATATAAACATACACTGCTGGAAGCAGTGCAACCAAGAGAAAAGCTATGAAATGAAGTAAATAGACTATTGGAAATAATTTAATACACATTCATGGAAAAATATATTAAAACTAAATCAGTGATTCTGATAGTGTTTAGGCCAGCAGAGAAGGCTTTGCTGGCCCTGACGGCCCACCACTGCTCTATACTGTATGTAAAATTTGCATTTCAAAAGAAACCGGCCTTTCTTTTGAAATTATTCCATATCCCAGGCTGTTGGTTACAATGTGTTTATATTTTCAATGTTTTTATTTGTGAAAATGACATAATTGGATCACAGAATCAACATGTTTCCATCTAAAGCATAAATCGGTTTAATTTGCTGATTATTTTTTTAGTTAATTTAAAATAAAGTAAAAAACATTTTTCTAAATTGATTCATTTTCAAACGATTTTTTTCTAATTTATTTAATAAATACTATGAAATTAATTTAGTTAGTTAGACCAATTGTTATTCTTGTTTTATTTACTATCTTAAATAAGATATTATTGTATGATGTATAGGACCGTCATAGTGGAATTCCCCCTGATGATGCACCGCAATCATTTCGTTTTTATGTGGACTTTTGAACAAGCTGGACAAAGTCTGTCGGAATTTCTATCAGGGCAGCAGTTTTGTCCTGCTTTTTTACTCAGGTCACAGGCTTGAAGCATTAATAGCCTTAAGGATGTCTGTGTCAGCTAGGTTGGATAGCGAATTTCTGACACAATGCTCTTTCAAATGGATACTGTTACAGCTCAGCTTCTACTCAACCTCCTCCTTTCATTTCCACCTTTTATTCAGTATCGTCTCTCAACCCTCGAGGAGAAGCACTGCTCCTCTCAAAGGGCCAGCGCATATCTGACATCAATTATGGGATTACTATGCTCTAATACTCAACTTTTTCTCACTGTGAATGTGTCAGAAGGAAGGAAGGTGCTTTTTTTTTTTCAATCCCTGCTCGGGTTTCAGGCACTCTCCCAAACCCGGAATGGGTCATGTCAGGCAGAGCAGTGTGGACAGGACACAATCATCCAAATGAGTTTGACAGATAGAGTACAATACACCTTGACACTAAGTGAGTCCAACTCTGGTCAACATTTAACCCCTCGGTCTCGTCCGCTTAGCTGACGGAGGTCTGAAAGTGGAAGTGAAGAGTATTTGTGAGAGTGTGAGGAGTGTGTTAGCGCATGTAGGTTATGGAGAGCACTTTTGGTCTGGTGTTGTTAGCCTTAGGGCTTTAGCTAATGGGCCACCCAATTCCCAGCAGGCCCTGGGGCTCCAAGCAGCTTGGCATTAGTGGTCCCTCTTCATTAATGATGAGATCTGCTCTTGCTTATGCCCAAAGCCAACAGCCTTGATTTATCATCATATAAACTCATAATATCACACCATTCATCGTTACACACACATATACTGTATAGGGCCCTATGATTTCCACGATGCAGAAAACAAGAATGGAATTGAGGAAACCAGTCATAAAAACAGAATATAACATGATTCGCTGCAAAATTTGAATGAATAAATTAAAAGTGGGGCTGTACACGTTATCAAATTGTGATATAGGCTAGTGTCTGTGAATATTAAACTGCAAAAAGACAGCTATTTGTATATGAAGTCTCCAAGTTTTTCATGTCTCTGTCTGAATGAGTGTTGTAGTTTCGTCTACTACACATTTAAGCACACAAGAGTTGCTCTGAAAATTCACTTTGCCATTTCATTTAATAAACCTATCATCAGATACACACAAAAACTCAAAAGTTCTGTTTAACTTGAGATTATATGACAGAAATATATTAGTATTGTACAGTAGAATGCACTTCTCAAAGTAAATATAATTTATTAAAGCCTATGTTTAAATGTAAACATTAAACATCTGTTGTCTAGCATTTTGTATGCAAATAAATAAATGAATAAATAAATAGTTACATTTGATTGCATTTTAAATTAGTTTTATGCATTCATAATTTTTTGATAATAAAATTATTTTAAATTAAAAAAAAATCACAAATTCAGAAAAAAATAAAAAGAACACAGGATTTCTGAACAAAATGCATCACATTTCATAGGGCAGTATTATTATTAAAATTCTAATAAATTATTAAATATTTATTAATTTAATTGAAAATTACATTCTTTCTGCTAATTAAAATGTTGTTAAGCCATTAAAACAGAATTTGGAGAAAATAACACAGGGCCCTATCTACAGTATGTAGAAAACTCTGGAAAATTTTACATTTGTGAAAGTGGAGGTCATGGGGCTGTCAAGTTGAAAAATGATTCTGATCGTCACCTCAAATATCTGTGGGATGCCAATTTTAATTTCACCACGTCTTGTCCATCTCTTGTAT